TAACTTGAAAAATAATTTTTAAACCATGTAAATTATTAGTTCTTTAGGAACAATATTTTTGTTTTATTAAGTCAGTTGCTTACTAAAATTAGTCATGATCTAAGATATGATCAGGTTAGCAAGACACTTACTTGAAAAATTGTGAATGTCAAAACCCTATAAAACTGATTTGTGGTCAAAATCTTCAAAAACATCTTGTTCTCTTACCTCCACTAAATGTCGGTATTCTTAGCTAAAATTCTCTCTAAAACTCTAATAATTTCATTTTTGTGTAACATTTTTTATGAAGGCCAAACATGGTGATCCATGTATGTGATGAAGCAAAAAATTTGAAAGAAGATTTTATTTGCCCACGAGATCTTTTGATATCAGAAATGAAGTACTTTGCTGAATATTTATCTATGGATGCCCAGCGCTGGGAAGAGGTGGACATTTCAGTTCATTGTGACGTTCACATTTTCAACTGGTTGATAAAATATGTTAAAAGGAACACTGAGGAGAATAAAGATTGTGAGATGCCCACTTTAGGTAAAAAATAATCTATTGCTTATTTTGTAGTGAAATTTGTGTGTCACCTGGTAGTTTCTTCAGGCCGAAAGTAAAATGTGGAAAATGGTTCGGATGTTAGTATTTCTGCTCATATTAGTAATACCTTTTAGAAAATTGATACCTGATCTTTTTTAATAAATTATGTAATAGTAAATTTATGACAAATGGACAGGTTCCTAGATGAGCAGTTTTCAACATATGGTATATGGACCACTGGGGTACTGGAGACCCTTTTAGAGGGTCCACAAGGTCGAAACAATTTGCATAATAATACAAAGATGTTATTTTTCTTTCTCACTGGATTGACATTTGCTCAGATAATGCAAAAGCAATGGTGGGTAAAACCGTTAGAGCTTTAGCCCACATGTAGGCAGGGGCACCAAACTGTGCTAGTAGTACCTAGTTACATAGTTAAAAAGGAAAAAAAGAAGAAAAAAATACATTTTCACTTAAGAATGTCCTTGATGAAGCAGTAAAAATTACTAATCTTGTTAAATCTCGACCCTTGAATGAATGAATATCTTTTTAATACTCTGATGAACTGGGAAGTGCACTTGTACTACACACCAACATATGATGGTTTTCTTGAGGAAAAGCAATTGTGTGATTGTTTCAGTCGTGAGGTAAACTGGCTGCTTTTTTAAAAATAGAAAACTGTTTTTACTTGAGAGAATGACTGACACAGAAATTATGGTTATTCAGACTTAGGTATTTGGCAGACATTTTCTTGAAAATGAGCTGATCACTTAAAGGAAACAAAGTATTTGTTATCAGTGATAAAATTCAAGCTTTCAAGTGAGAATTACAGTTTCAGAAAACTTACCTGCTTTCATGTGCTTGACAACATCTCAATACTTAAGGACTTTTCTGATGAGACTGGTGGTCATATTGACGAACGTAATTTTTTAATATATTGTACAATGAAATAAAATGTTTCAACATTTGGAAGATCTACATAACTCAGTGAGCCACAGTGTTTTCCAAACAACCAATGCATTATGTTTTTAAAAATCATGCATGGGTTAAAGATCCATTCAAAGTACAAGATGAATCAGTGGATTTTGATGTTAACAGAGTAGGAAAAGTTCACTGATACAGTTTCAGATTCCATTGCAACTAAACTTTAAGAAACTCCCATTTGGACTGGATGCAGTAGCTCAGCCATATAAACCCAGTGCTTTGGAGGCTGAGACAGAGGATCACTTGAGCCCAGGAATTTAAGGTTAGTGAGCTATGATTGTACCACTGCACTCCAGACTGGGTGAGACCCTGTTTCAAAAAGAAAAAAGAAAAGAAACTACCATTTGTCAAATTTGGTGTAACATCAAAGAATGCTACCCACAAATTGAATAGATAGGAGAATCCAGTTGTCTTCTATTAAGTCAGACATTGAAGAGATTTGCAAAAAATGTCAAACAGTACTACTCTTCCTACTAACTTTTTTTCATTTTGGAAAATATAGTTATTTTTAATAAAAATATGTTAACATGCAGTAAGTCTTTTATTCTTATTTTTAAATGAATCAATAAATATATTTTGAATTTCTCTATTTTAATTTCTAACATGGTAAATACTGATAGATATAACCCACTGATAGATATAAACAAAAACTCTTTAGGATTCTTAGTTTTTAAGATTGTAAAACAGTCCTGAGATTGAAAGTTTAAGAACCAGTATTCTGAATGATAGGATACTATTAGTATTACTAGTAGAATTAATCTAGATTACTAAGTAACCTTTCAATGGGCATAGACTTGTATAGAAAATCACACTTGTGGTTTAATAAAGTCTGTCTGTGTACCAAAACTGCTGTTTACAGCAGTATCAAAATATTTCTGAAGTCTTATTCAGAGTAAATAAATCTACATTGACAGTGTATAACTTTTCTGAAGAAGTTTATAATTTACTGTATTCTAGTGACCAAATTAATAGGAAAGGTTTCTAGTGGTCCTAAATAAAAATTACAAGATTACTAAATCAAAATTTTCAGCCAGCTGGAGTCCAGAGATTCCAGACTACCCAGCTATGAAATGTGTGTGTGAAATAAAAATAAAAATATATAGCGAGAAAAAAAGTATTGTTTGATCCAGTATATTTATGTGTGTAGTAAAGGTAAAAGAAATGGAGCAAAACTAGTCTTTCTGGTATCTTTGCCCTTAAGTCATTGGCTACCAATGTAAACTTTTACAAAAGCAATCTTTATTCTAATCAGGAAACTACGAAAATGCTTAATTTAATCTCTAATAATCCAGCCACTGGTTCTTAACTGGGCTTGGGTATATTACCATTTCCTGAGGAGCTTTTTCACCAGCATCTTCCCCCCTTCACCATTTCCATTTGAGACCCTTTAATCTAGACTTATTATTTAGGGAAAGATTAGGATTACTCATTCTAACCATTGTCTGCTTAGTCCTTTATTTAGAAGAATTGTCTTAGTACGGTAATGGTGCAAAAATCACAATTTTTTTCTTTTTCTTAAATATACCTCGTGGGAGATGACAGGGTTACTAAAACTATAGTGTCAGGTGGCACCCCCTTTTTCTTTCTGTATGCTGAAAGCTCACTCAGTATGCCCTTAGGAAGTAACTTCTACAGTAGTAAATTTTTTGTTGTCTTTCAGAATCTTTTTAAATTAAATATTTGTTCATGACAAGCATTGAATTCCTTTTGAAATAACTTCATTAATAACAAGTGTTCTCATTAATCATTTTCAGAATTTTCTCACTATGACTTTTGTATGTGATGCATTATATTCTCAATTTTGATTATCTTTTTCTCTCATTTAGTTAAAGAGAAGTTTGCATATGTCATATTTTTAGCTGGAGTCTTTTTGCTTGTATGAATCTAACTCCAGGGAAAATTTACTGTGTGCATTTTCTTTTAAAATGGAATTTTCTTGCTTTTGTATATCTAATCCATATGATATAATAAGGCTGTGTTAAATTTTTCTATTAAAGTAACATCCTCTTTTAAGGTGAGAAAGAGACTGTTCAGAGGATATGGACATTAAGGTGCAAATCAGAAAGAAAACTTAATTTTTTTATTTTTTTTTTTTAGAGCCAGGAAATGTCATTTCAATTCTTATTTCATCAGAATTTTTGAAAATGGATTCATTAGTAAGTATTAATAAAAAGAAATTAAAGCTCTCTGTTCACTTATGCTTTTTTTTCCCTTCAAGTGTCTAGAAAATTCTAAGACACCTTACTAAAATAGTTGCTAATTCAAGAGTGTGATTTCCTTAGAATAAACTTCTTGTTTGGAAGTACTTTGTTCTGTTGGGAAGGCGTTAAACCTACTATATATCATTTGTATGTTATGCCTATAAAGCAAGCAATTAATCCTCAAGGAGTAGCTCACTGTTATGTGAGATGAAACTAAACAAAATTAATTTTATCCCAAAGGGGATTTTATCCTACAACCAAATTAAATTAAAATTAATTAGAATATATTAATACTTGTTTTTGTTATTTAAGTAATTTCTTCAAGCATGTTTTGCTTATTTGTCTTTCACTTATGTTCAGTGAGTGAAGAATGAATATCCAACAATTAAACAATATAATTTTGTGTGTGTATCATAGAAGTTCATGTCTATTGCTTAAGAGTAGCTGATGAAACATAAAAGCACAATATATACATACAGATTTCAAGTTCTAACATTAAATATATTTATTTTTCTTTTTTATTTGATAAATTTCTTTATCATTAAAATGATTTTATATGTTTTTGTGGTTGATATTATGTGGTTCATATTTAAATAAATATTTGCTTTATAACGCCTGGTGAAACTGTATTATACAGGCCAGACAATTCCTTTGCTATGTTAACAGATGTGAAATTTGTTCATTTAATTGTTTGAGGTCTTACTAGTTCCCTGTATTCTTTCTGATCCTTAGCCCCTCCCCATTTAGCCAGCTGGTATTAATTGCTTCCGGAAAAGGTTACAGAAAAAAAAGCAGAGACTAAAAGAGTCTTTGAGTTTTGAAATTTTTACAACTTTGAATTTTGAAATCTAAGCCCTAAAGGATAATTTTTTTGCCCTAAGCAAAATATTTTGAGGAATACGTGATTAGCCTCTTTTTACTTTTAAAGTAGATAAATACACCTCAGCTTGGAGAGAGAGGAAGAAAAAGAGCAAACACAACACAACTGAGAAAACCCTGATTTAACTGAAATTTTGTTTCTGCCACCCAGAGAAAAAGAGGCTTAAAATTATAACTAAGTTTAATTATAGGAAGTTACATATCCTGTACACTTGACTTTATAGACCAAGATTTATACCTGCCACTACCATAAAAGATGCATTATTGTTTGAAACATTCTAAAGAAAGCTGAAAATAATTTTTTTAATTATGTATATATGTCATTACATATTTGATCTGCAGGACCACTTTGTAATAGTGTAGATTCACTCAAATAGGCAAAACCCAGCTAGTGCCTAGCAAAACATGGATTAGGTTTTTAATGTATTTTATCTTTGAATGCTATTGCTGTGACATTATCCTTCACATTGCTGTTTTCAACATTCATTTTCTGTTCTGTGTTTTTTTAGGTTGAACAGTGTATTCAGTATTGCCACAAAAATATGAATGCCATAGTAGCTACCCCATGCAACATGAACTGTATTAATGCAAATCTTCTTACACGTATAGCTGATCTGTTCACACACAATGAAGTTGACGATTTAAAGGACAAAAAAGATAAATTTAGAAGGTAATTTTTAAAATTTAATTTTAAACTTAATGTTCCTATTAAAAGAAATATATTTCTATTTCATGTTAGTGAAATATTTTATTTTTAGAATATACTTAGAAATATATTTCTATTTTATTTTAAGTGAAGTAAAATTTATGCAGAGCTAATGGCTCAAGATAAAAATTATTAATAGTAATTATTTTGTATAATGAACATATGAGCATATAGTGCTAGTGAATTATGTTAAAGATTATTAAGACACTACTCAGGAAACTGAGGCAAGAGGAGTACTTGAGACCAGGACTTGGAGGCTATAGTGTGTGATGATAGGGCCTGTGAATAGGTACTGTACTCTTGTCTGGGCAACATAGTGAGAACCCCATCTCTTAAAAAAAAAAAAATTGGCCTTGGTATAAAGGGGAAGAGTAGTATGAGAGGAGGTCAGCAGTAGTTATATCATTTAAGGGCTATTTAGGTAACAGCAAGGAGGATATACTTTATTCTAGGTGTGAATGGAAGCACAGGAGTGACATGACCTGATTTTTTGTCAAGAGCTCATTCTGGTTGCTATGTGGAGAATAGACTTTAGGGATATAAGAAGCAAGGAGACCTCTAGGAGGCCAATGCAGTAGTCTGTTGAGAAATGAAAGGGTTTGAGCTAGGGTAGAAGCAGTGGAGCTGGCAAGAAATAGATGGATTCAGGATGTGTTATTAGAAAGATTTGATAGATTTGTGAGTAGAATGATGTAGGAAGAGAGAGAGGATTCCAGGATAATAATTATGTTTTCAGCTTGAGCAACTAAGTGTATGGTAGTACCATTAATGGAGAAGGGAAAGATTGGGAGGGGAAGAATTGGGGTGAGGGAAATCAAGAGATGGATTTGGGTCTTGTTGAGATTATTTAATATATTTCTTAGATATCCAGTGATGTTTGTGATGGCAGGTAGATAGTTGGATTATTAGTTTGATATTTAGGTCAGAGATCAGGGCTTAAAATAGAAAATTAAGAGTGGATGAGGTTTGAAACTATGGAACTGGATGAGATTTCCTAGCAAGAGACCCTAATTAGTGTTTTTTTGTGTCCCATTCAAGAAATCTTTGCCTCCTAAAAGTGCAGACATTCTCCAATGTTTTTTCTGTTATTCGTCTTGAATTAATTTTTTTGTGTGTGGTATGAGGTAGGGATTAAGGTTCATTTGTTTTTTCAAATGATACGTAGTCGACACAGCACCATATATTGAAAAGACCATCCTTTCCCCACTGAATTGCAATGACAGCTTTACTATAAATCAAGATACTATATGTGAGGTCTGTTTCTGAGTGGTCTGTTTCGTTTTGTTGATTTGTCTATCCTTGTGTCAGTAGCACATTGTTGTAATTACAATAGCCTTATAATAATTTTTGGTATCTAGTAATCTAAATTCTCAAGTTTTGCCTCTCTTCAAGATTGCTTTCTTGGCTATTTTAGGTCCTTTGCATTTCCATATAAACTTTATAATCAACTTGTCCATTTTCTTTTTCTCAGACACACAAACCTGCTGGAATTTGAGGTTAATATGAAACCTATAGATCAATTTAAGAATATTGAGCATCTTAGTAATATTGAGTCTGTCAGTCCATGAATATGGTATAACCCTCCCTTTATTTGAGCCTTCCTTAATTTATTTCAGCAATGTCTTATAGTTTTCGTGTAGAGATATTTTTCCTTTTTAAGTTTATTCCTAGGTATTTAAACTTCGGTGCTATTGTAAATACTATTATTTATTTTATTTTCTAATTGTTAGCAAGATAGTACTGATTAAGGCTGCCCAGTATGTAGAGGTTCAGCAGAAGAGAAGTAGCCATTGAGGAGCCTGAGAATGAGGAGCCAGTGAAGTAGAAGGGAAGGCAAAAGGAAAGAAGGTTTCAAAAGGAGGAAATAATTTAAGTGACCAAATATGTGGAATGCTGCCATCATGTAGAGTACAATGGAGACAGAAATGTTACCAACTGGATTTAGAAAACTTTTTTCCAGATGTTTTACTCTGAATGATTACTTAAAAAGTTAGCAGTAGCTATCAGGGATAGGTAGGCTCTAGAGAGGATTTTTTTTTTTTTTT